TAATGATATAAATAAACGAAACGAGTGAATTTTTTTATTCCCTTATACGGATTTATTTAACGTAAATTTTAACAAAGTAGCCTCATAAATTTATTATTTTCCTCATCAATTATTAAAAAACTGATTTACGTTTACATAAAAATTACTTTCAATTTGTCATTTCTATCAGAAAGAAAACCCTTACAAAATAGAAACTGTATATTAATTTATGACTTATTTTTCTTTTTCTGAAACAGAAAAAAATCTGCATTAATATATAATTAATTTGTTTTAAATTAAAAATTTCGACTAATTTTTCGGGTTTTGAACGTCATAAAATGCGTTTTATTCTATAAAATTTAGTTTTCTTCTTCGGCTAAGGACTTGATCTCTGAGCTGTCATTCGTCTGAGAGAAGCAACGATGGATGGAAGGGATTGAGTTTCTAAGGATTGACTTCCCTTCGACTGTAAGCATAACCTAGAGTCTGTATCCTTCACTTGGAGAGTTTTAAACGAAGGGCTTGAATATATCGAATGGTCTTTTAAGTAAATGGCAACTGAAGGCATAAACAGGACTCGAGTTTCTTACCCCTCTTCAATGGAAAGGATAAATAAGAGGCTCCATCTCTACTGAACCGATGCGCTTCGATTAGGAACTTCTATAAAGGATTTATTATATCAGAATATATTAAAGGATTAAGAAACTTATAAGATTAACGATAAATGATTTAGAAAATGTAGATTGAATTTCTACAGGAACATTTTCTGTCGTGTGAAAGCATTATTGTGAAGGTGGGGGTCGAGCATCTCTAACGAGTCGTCGTTTAATTAGAAATCTATAAATAAAGGATGTAAAAAAAAAACAGGAATTTTTGGCGGCGGAGATATTATTCTATGTGGAAAAATCGAAATGTGACAGAGTTATCTAAAATCGAGCCCCTAAATCATAAAAAATCGATACGTAACAATAGAAAAATAACAATACGTACTGCATCAAACAGCAGCCATTGTAAGTTACTTGTATATTTAAATCACATGTATTACTCTACGATTATCAGCAATCGATTTCCTGTAATTAAAGTGGGGAAAAAATATATGTAAAATTCGAAAAAAAATATATTTTTTTTCTAGTATTAACATGAAAAAAACTTGTTTTTCTTATTCAAAACTCGGAAATTTTATTGTTTCGCCTCTTCAAATTACTAGAAACCGGTCGATATTTATAAAATAATTCGAAATTTATTATTATTATTATTAAACTCTGCATTTTGATTGTACCGTTTTCAAAATATCGATTTTTTTTAAATTAATTAAAATATAAAATAAACAATCCGTTTTCGTTCATAATTATATTAAAACTTAATTATCGAAACTTAAAAATAGTAAAAGTCAATCAGACATTTCCTCGTTCGGTAACTAAAAATCGACCAATAATAGTTAAAATATTAAAATTTATTATTATTGTTATTCGTAATTGTTAAAGGAGAGAATATTATAATCGAAAAATCACAATATTTAATTATTGGATGCGGATGAGGATGCGGAAACAGCGAGTTTTCAGTCTGCGATGTTCCCTGATAAACCGGAAGATTGAAGAAAAAATAGTATTCTTTTTACAGTTTTTTACGTAAAATATTTTAAATGTATTCTATATTTTTGCCGTAAAACGTTACAAGATTGGGCGAAGTAGATTTTTGCATAATATCTGTTTTACAATTGTTTCGTCAAGAGAATTATTGAACGAGTTTTGATCGAATGTAAAATTGTATTGGTGAGATAATTATTAAGCGTGTTAATTAATTTACGTTTTAATAAAATTTTGTAACTAAATAAATGAAAGAAGTTTTTGATAAATTCTTAAATGAGGAAAAATGGTAAATGGGGATTTTTTTTAATATTTTGAACAGGATACAATAGGATGAGGATGCACAAAAGGATGTTTGTTCCGCCAGAATAAACATTTTCTCCTTTAAATTACATTGTTTTTTTATGAAAGTAGATTACGTTAACAACAAAATTTAACCAATAAATTTTAAAAAATGATAAATATTCGTGGTTAAATGCACCAAAATCTAATTACATTACTTAACCATTTCGTTCGCATGCGACCGCTATATTAAAATAGCATTATATGACGCCAAATTGTGAATGGAGAAAGAAATTTCTCTTTCATTTTTCTCTTGTTCTAATTGCTAGACTTGTTAATTGTCTATATTATTTGCAGAACTTTACGATTACACCGCTCAATTCATTTCATTTTATTTGGAAACTTTGTCGTTCCGATATTTTGCTCCGCCTAATTTCTTTGCTTTAATTCGTAACTCGTTAAAATTCTCATTAAATCTCAATAATTAATTCTGAAAATATCGTAATATTACGCCAAATTTATTGTTTAGTTATCGATATAATTATATTTTCATTAATGTAAAGGAAGGGAAAAAAAACCTCTCCGCTCAATCGCCGATGCCATCACCTTTTAGCAAAATGACCATTTCAAGCCCGATGCTCCGCCCAATTTCGTAAATATTTAAAGTCTAATCTCATTGGAAAGGCTTGGAAACGAATAATTAAATTCTTTTTAAAGCTTTTACTTTTAAAGAATTGGCAACGAAGAAAATTGATCGAGTAAAATCGAATGAAAATTATCGATTATAATTTGGAATTTTTACCGAATCAGCAAGAGAGATTTTTAACTTCTATCACAAAACAAATCTTTTTCGTCGTCGATCGTTATTTTCTAAGTCCTAATTACATCTGAATCTCTGGAGATGCGAATGACTGATTTACAAACATTACTTCGTGTCCCATTAATCACTCACTGCCCATCCTCATGCTTGGTTTTTAATGCGGATGAGGTCCACGTCCACTTTCATTTTCGAATTCATAAGCGTAATACTTCGATTCTAAAGCTAACTTCTAATGAAAAAGTCATTTTGGGCGGAGTTAGCCTTTACAAGGGTGCTGCGGCACCAGAAATTACCAAAGCAATCACTTTTGTTACCTTAAAATAAATAAAATAACTCCGCATAGCATTACTTCAATTACTTGAGCGAAAAATGGGCACGTGCTTTTATCCCACCCCCCAAATCTGCCACGAGCAGCACTTTTATCCTCAAAATGCTGGATACGCTACCGACGAGTGATAAAATTATAGCGATTAGTAGCCCGACCTTCTTAACATTTTGGGCGGAGCACAAATCGAATAGACTCTGACAGAAGCCGTTAACTTTTTAAGATAAACAAAATATTAATTTGATAGGATTTTATGTAGTTCTAGCCGTTTTGGGCAGAGTTTTTATAATAATAATAATAATAAATAAGATAAACAATAGTAATAATAGAAAAAATGACAATAAACAACATTTTGGGAGGAGTCCCCCAGAATATATTCCAACAAACTTACACTAGAATGTATCTTAAAGCTTAAAAAATTCAAACAAGTAATTCGAAAGCATTCTTGAAGTATGAATGAATAAAACATGAATTATTCAACTTTTAATAAACAAACCTTCTACAAGAATTTACTTTTGCTTTCTATTTTAATTTGCAGAAAAGAAAAGGGAAAAAAACTCCCGGCATCATTTAAAATTCTACTTGTTAAATAATTAAATATTAAAATAGTGAGTCAAAAGATAGTGAAAATTTTCCTTTTTTTTTTCACTTTCACTTTTGAGGATTTTTCCTTAAATTTCTTTATTATTATCATCTTATTTATTTATTTTTTTAAATTAAAGTTTCACAAACGAACATTTCGAAGAATTACAACATGCTTAAGAGGCGATTCACACAATTTATATTCAAAATAAATTCCCCCAGTCGTAAAATTTCCATAAATTTGTTTACAGTTTTAAAAATAAAGTAAAAAGTAAGTAAATAAATAAAATAAGAAACGAAATCGAGAACCGGAAAGAATCGAAATCGTCTCGAGATATATTTATGCCACTGTGAATAAATAAGAAAACTTTTCCAAGTTACAATTTCGTAAATCCTTCAATATTTTTTCCCCCTGTCAAAAAAATTCCCTAAATTCGGGGAGATTTCATTGGTTTAGGGAATTTTCGAACCTGTTTATGAAATCTTACGGGGTATAAATATTTATCGATGAATTAAAAACTGTAATAGTATTTTAAGCCATATTATCATTCACGTTATATAACGTCTCATTGATTAGGAGACATCTTTATTTCATTCGATATTGATTCTGTTCCGGTTTTCTTAACTAACAAATGTTAAGTAATTGCCAGCTGCCATTGCGGTGAGGAAAATCCCGAACTTCAAACACATGAATATTCTTCTTACACCAGCCAATATATTAGATCACAGCGCAGGCTTGCTCCTTCCCAATATTAAAAATAATGATAATTTTTTTTTAGTGATTTTTGCGCTTCGGCCCCTTCCCAAAATTGTTAGAAATTTCCACGTTAACTTTTATTATTATTATTATTTAACGCGGAAATCACCGAAGAGTGTAATTTTTATTTCCTCGTCTGGCATCCTTTAGGGAAGCCTCACAAATTTTTGTTTTAATTCTGTCTGTATAGAAACTAAAAATAAAACAATGTGAATGGACTATATTTTTATTTTACATTTACAGAAATTAATTCTGTTGATTAATTCAATATATATATATATATTAAAACAGGTAGGGACGTGTGTGAAAGTCAGTGCTCCCTCCCAATATCCTTGATGCAACGTGTAAAAAATCTGTCAAGGTTCGAAAATTATTATTATTACAGAAATGTTTGAAGGTTAATTTAAGTGTAGGATACGAGTTAGCCTTTTTTTTTTAAAAAAAAAAGTAAACTTTAGCCCAATTTTACTAACTCTAAACTACTTTATCTATTGTATAACGGTAACAGTTAAACATTCAAGTTGATTTTTCCGTAGTGGGTAACTCGTTTCGGTTACGAGACTCCCTTTACGGAGGAGTTAATTTAATTTAGTTAACGTTAAAATTGCTTATTTATTGATTGTTATTTACTAGTTTTATAGATTTTTATCGTCATTATGTAATACTCACAGTCATTGGTTTTGTCGTCCGGCTCGACAAAAGCACATCTTGGTAGAAGGGAAGTCTGCCAGCGGCTATCGGCGTGTCACGTGTTTGGGGTCACACTTCTTAAGCTTGCATTACGTCCGTCGTGTTTATCGTAACGTAACCGAATCATCGTAACATGGTCGAGCGAAAGAATAACTAGTAGCCGTCGTTGCTGCAGCCAAAATGAAGACGGTGCGCGTAAAACCGCTGCGCTTTCTGCAGGTCCGTTCCATTATGTATCACCAAGGCGATGGTGTGGGATGGCAAAATGGGTGGGCTACGACAAAACAGCATCCTTTAAGGATAATTCCGAGATGTTACAGCCCAGTCGACTTGGCCGTTTCCTAACATCGCCTATTATCTGTTTTATTTTTCTTTTTTTTTTTTTATCAAGGATCTAAGGGCGACTCTCGTCCCGTTACCACCTTTTTTTTTCAAGCTACACCGATAGAATTCCACTGACGATAAGATTAAACTGCACTTCTGCTACGGAAGATGGTGCGTGAAGATTACTTTTTCTTCTCGACGGGTTCATATTTTTACCCTAAGTTAAGGAATATTCACACTATTTCTCTTCATCTTATGCCACATCCAATAAGGCGCCCGGAGATTTTACCTTAAAGCCAGTTTGAAATTTTCCAATGCAAATATTTTACTTTGGTGACGTTATTTCTGAACTTTAGTACTTTTTCGTGTATATAGAAAGCTGTCTTTTTGAATATTTTGTCTACGCGGATTAAGTTAATGAATCGATTAAACAAATTTCGAAGACAGAAAGTGAATAGATAAATTATTTTCTATGTAATAAAATTGATAGAGAATAAAAATGAGGTTGTAACATCCTACACACTACTCCAGCTTTAAAAATTTTCTATGAAAAGTTAAATAAGGTTAATAAAAAGTATTGTAGACCGANTATATATATATATAAGTTACTTTACGTAATGTAAAACACGTGTAAAAAAGACACGTATGCATTATAATGTCGAATTTTGGGCGGAGAAAATGATCTTTTCGAGGTACTTACATTTTGTTTCTCAGTATTTATGTATACAAATTTAATGAAAGTTTCTCTGTATATTTTCTTATTTTCTTTCCGAATTCCTCAGAACATTATTGGAAATTGTGTTTATATAAATGCCAAGGAGAAACATATTATAGAAATTATTAAAACTATTAAATAGGACGGAGTTTTCATTTCGTACAAGACAAAAATTTCGCGTTAGATGTTCAAATTATTTCCAAAGATTCTCTAATATATAAGAGAAGAATAAATATAAACTGTAACGCTAAAATAACGTAAGCTCCGCCCAATATTAATTATATTCTCCGAAGTAAATATCAAGAAGAAAATCAATAGAACGTCAATAGAGTAATGAATGTTGTTATAACATTAATAATAATGATATATGCAAGCAACATTATTATCTCTGGAGTAATTTTGTGCTAATTCCTTATTAAGATGTTTTTTTTTTTAATTCCGTAAGAAAATCTTCGATTTAATTAGAGAAAAAATTATCTATACTTACACGAATGAATTGAAAATTAGTGATAAAAAAGAAAAAAATGTATATGTATTTATGAAATAATGTATTTATGTAAAAATGTAATGTGTAATATGTAGGGGACATTTGTAAAGCCGGACATGAAACATTTTATAAAATAAAAGGTTGGCAGCACTGTCTGTTACGTCGTGATTCCTATCAGCTACGTAGTATTGACATATGATGTTACGCTCGCGCGTTTTGATCAGTGTTTCGTGCAACCAAAAACTCGCTGTTGGAAGATTTTACTCTTTCAGGAAGTGTTTAACACAAAGTTTTTAGATATGTTTATAAATGTGGATGATAACGCGTTTCGTGCTGTTTACTTACCATATATCAAAATTTCGATAGGTAATTTCTTTCCAAAAATGATTAGAATAAAACATGGTGATGTGGGGCAACCTCGTACACATTCTCGGGGCATAAAAGGGCAGCTCTATAGTGTCCGGAATTTCCTCGAGGTCACTTTTTGGTATATTTGCTCGGTTTTTCTCATATTACTCTATAATTTTGGACAGGAGCCGATCCGTGTTCATTTTCCTTATATATATGTATAAATTAACGAATCTATTGTGTTTCGATTTCTGTGTAATGTATTTCATTCCTTTATTGCCTTTGTCTGCAAAATCTTGGCTATTTTCTTCTAGCCGCTTGTCGTTGCCCTAGGTATACTATCCGCCATTAACCCGTACTATAGAGAACACTGCATAGTCGTCTAATTTTTTTACTTTTTGGGGAGAAAAAACAGGTTAGATTTTTTAAATGTCGTAAACCATATATTAGCGAACAGATTAGAGTATCAATTCATATAAAAAGATCAAAGTTTTCTGTAACCGGTTTCCTGATACAGAACTACAAAATCTTGTGTTCCCGATCTCCCAGTCTTCCCTTAAAAATATACTTACTATTTCCGCTCGAAATAGTACTAAAACGGGCATTCTGTACAATATCAAACCATCCATTTCAAAGAATAATACAATATAAAAATATATTTAAAAAACAGAGTAGTAAATTTAATTTAAAAAATGCCATAAAATATTTTATAATGTGCTATAAATACGGAAAAACAATTACTATATCCTCCTAAATTAATCATATCAGATTATGATTTTTTTTAAACTGTAAAAAAAGGAGCATTAATTAATTTTACGCCCACACGAGATTGTTTTCTGGAACAAAACCATGTTAAAAAATGCCTTCATAACAATTTCAGAAGCCCCCGAGTGTAAACGTGTTAGCTGTCCATAACACGTGTGGTTATTTACGCGTAAGGGATGCTTCCAATCACATTATTTTATTTTTTTCGCCATTACGTAGGAATATGAGATAGATTCAGTTTACGATTAGACTCTACAAAAATGTCTGAATATTTTCAATAAAAATATATTACTCCGCTTCCTCCTCTCCTGACCTGTTGAAAAATTCCATCTTCTATTCTGAATATCTTGCTTCGGATGGAATTTATAAGTCGAATAAATCTTATAAAAATATGTTTAACACCAAATAACTTTATGTTTTTAAATAATATATGTTTAAAATTTGAAAAAAAAAACTTCAGTTTTAATTATAGGGAATATTTTTATGCACGTTTATATTATTTTATATAACCTTGCGTGGATAGCGTGGAGCAAAATGACTTATCTTTTGTGATAATTTTATTAATTTTCAGTAACGAATGCATTAAATAATAGATCTTTTAATCAACTTACTGATTTAAACTTTAGTTACAGTCGATTTTAATCCTTTTAAATCCTTTGGAGCTCTCGACAGAAATCAAAGTTTATCCCAAAATTGTTTAATGCATCTTCTGGGATTTAAATACATTTAATATTATCATTTATAATTATTATTTTAATATTGAACATGCTAAATTTTTAACAGTTTCCTACATCGAATTTAAAAATTCTCTCAAAATTGAGACAGTCATATGTTTATCGATGCAAAATTTCAATTAAAATCTAGTATATATTTTGAATTTTAGAAATACATTTTACAATATAATAAATTCGAGGATATTTCTTTTATAAAATTAATACTAAATAAACAGGAAAGAGTACGAAATTTTATAGTTTTCGGCACTTACTCTGCCATCTGTTGCGCGCGTAACATACTAATGACGGAAGAAATTTTATAAATTTGATCAATTTATGCAAATAAGCTAACGCGTTTCGTTGCTCACTTGTGTTAAAAGTGTTCGTAACGAGTAAAGAAAACCGGTAAAATAGAAAAAATGATATTGGTTTATAGATAAGGACCACTCGGTTTTGTATTCTAACAGAAATTCGATAGGAGTAAATATTTAAAATTATGATTGTTATTAATTGTAATTAGCAAACAATAAATTTGGTAAATGAATTTGTTGTGTATTCCCGGTAACGGTATTCTTTGTGGAGGTGGAGTGGGAGAAAGCCATTTGTTGACGCAGTGACAAATAAGACCGCGATTCCCTTTGACAAGCTGGTAATCCTTCATTAAACCCTCTGGGAATGGATCTTTCCCATTTCCTTTCGTCGCATGTTGCAAGAAAGCATTATAATCGCCTAATGCATTTATCCGATCGATTTCGTATACTGTCAATCATTAAATACGTGTTTATTCATTCCCTTTATGCTAATTCGATAGATTTTAAAAAGGCGTTGGATAGTTAAAACAGGAAAAAATTCCAGCATTTGACCTCGGGATATTTGATCTTTTGTCCGTTTTGGATTTACGACGTGCAGATTGTCTTAGAAAACTGCAATATACTCTGCCGACCGCGCTATAAAAATGAGCAATAAATAAAGATTAAATAACAGAATGTCGAATTATATACCGTATATTACGTGAGGTTGGTGTTCGATGATGATACCTGTAATAAACAGTACGGAATTTCATATTAGGTAATGGATCGGTGACATATATGGCTCGAGTTATATGGGAGCACGAAGTAGAGTACGATAACTCGTTCCGAAAGGGAGCCTTTGCCAGCTTTAGATTAGTACCAAGCTTAATATTCGTTACTGCTCGAAAATCACAAATTTTCTACCGGATTTAACATCTCAATATTGTTCCATTAAAATATAATTAGGTAGGCTTTCCGCCAATAAATCAGGTTAAATTAACCCGTTAGACAAAATGAACCTTTTTTAATCGACCCCGAAAATGTCTTATCGACTACTTTAAAGACTCCAGGCTATGCTAATTTATATTTTGTGCATCGATATTATAAGGCATTTATTTCGTTTCCTTAACATTTTAAACCTTCCAATCGAATATTTTTATTATTTTATTTTTAGTTTGAAAAGAAATGTAGCCATTTTTAAACTTAAAACATTATGCTACTATGGTTTAATTTAATAATAATAAAAAGATATTTTAGATCAACAGAATTCTCAAAAGAGATCAGGCAAACTTGATTATTTTGTTTGCGGAATTTATTTTCTGAATGCCAAATAGTGGCCGCTTGGTAAATACGAATCGACGTTTTGTAGAGGACCTGCTAATAGAGACTAATAATTTAAAATTTTATTGTTTCATTCATAACTTTTCAAGTTATACATTCTGTCGATATCAACTTACGGAATGGGAAATATAAGTTTAAAAATTTTTTTTAAAAATGGTTTGATTTTCTGGCTGATTATGGTGATGTAGACTATTCTCTAGCA